TCCACAACAGCGCTGGAGTAGCTACTGAGATGAATTGAACTTAGCAGTTGTCGACGGTTTAAGTGTGCTGCTAAACTGCTCAGTAGCTCTAAAATCTAAAATAATTTTATTTTGTAAATATAACCTCGAAAAAGTCGTCTATTCCACTAATATTTTTCGGTGCGTTCTTTAAAGTATACCCCGTAGTTATAGTGGCGCCACCCTTATTTAACGGTTTTCTATGGACACTTTTTAATACACAGTCTGTACTCCTTACTTCTACACTCCATAGTTCTCCTGTTCTCTAACCTCCATGTCCGCACCATTGATTGACATTTGACACCCGACGATCATTTGCATCATCTTATTCGCTTCCCCGTCAGTTCGCTTCACTCGTTGTTGTGGAATGTGATACGTACTGGCACTGAACTATTTTGGATTTCCTTGTTGTTTTGAACTCGGAATTGTTTTACGGACTGATAACTACTACTTGCTTACGATTATTCTGTGCTTTCTGGACACCGATTTTGCATCTTGGATATTTGAGATAGGATGTCTATCTATAAGTTCGTACCAAATCGATTGAGAAAAACGGACATTGACCTTTCGGTCGTTTAACCAGGGGCTACAAACCTTTAATATATAGGCACTTTTTATATGTAGTACTTTCTTTATTTGTAATGATTTTTTTATAGTGATTGATAATATAATATATATCTAATAACTATTATTAAAAAGTTATGTTAAAGATCACTGTAGATGAAAAATCATCTATTGTTATAAATTACTTTATTCATTTAACAACAAAAAGCATTAATTTATAACACATATATAAAGATTCGAGTGATAACGACACCGAATAAGTACGTACTTATTCAAAAGATAAAACTTTATTTTCAATATTATATAAGTTCAATAAATAATTTTTTTAATATGAAACTGTTATTAAATGAATTGTTGCGTTACTTACCATAAATTGAAATATAAAATATAACACATTTTTCGCGATGTACCGTAAGATTTTACTATTTTTATAAGAACCACAGACAATATTATTTAAGAAACAAAAAAACAAAACATATGTGCGGACCTAGAAGTGTAAATTATATCAATATTTGAATATTGTTATCACATCTAAATTGAGATTTTGTAAGTTACGCCTTTTGACACTCGGCTCATATCTGAGGTCATCGTCCGTTCTCAATCAATTTTGCACGAACTTTACAACTACAAAGACAACTAGGCTTGCGATTGTAATGTGTTAATTGTAACATACGCATTGATACACTTCGCCGCCATCTCGTTATTGAGCTTCATACCAGAGTAATTTCTAAGATCTGCGAGTGGAATTCTTCAATAATAGTACCTATTTACATACCTACTTATTTTATTACACTAACATAAACCGTGATGGTTTATGTTAGTGTAATACAAATAAAGTGTACACAATCATACATCATAATACTAACATTTCACTTACGTAATCTTCTTCAGTGATCTAAAATAACTCTCATTCTTATTTTAGATCACTGAAGAAGATTACGTATGTGATGCCTGTCAGCAATTGGCAATACAGCATGTCAACTCTGGATTACCTAATGAACCTGGTGACTTATCTTCCCGTGGCCACAAGCATGTTTGCATATTTTGTGGAAGTTCTCTGAGGAACCGTAAACGTGAACTTATTGTGAGAGAGAGAATCCATCTTAGTTGCAACATGCAATACATGTAGAGCTTGAAAACAGAATTGCCCCATGGCAGGTAATTACAACATGATTTCGTTATTATGTACTTTTTTTTGTTTAGTATTGGTATCAATGCTATAGTGAATTTATTAATGCAATTTAACATTTTTTTGTAAAAATGTTCTTATTTGATCGGGTTTAATAATAATGAGCCAAAACATTTATATTAGGACAAGGCTGTATGGTTGTTTCAGGCAACTTCAACAGACCGTGTTTGTCATCCCTGTTGGCTGAGACTTAAGAGATCTGCAACAGCTGCAACACAGAGCCGGAGCAGGAGCCAGAGTCTCAACCCTAAAAACCTCAAAGCCCTCCAAATACTGACCAGCAAGCTGACTAAGTACCTAGGGTGATTAGTTTACCGCAGTATAGCACATATCCCGTGAACAATTGTTGCAACACAATTTAATAATTTTAAATGCAATTTATAATCAAAATACATAATGAAAATATGATAATTACATGTGATGGGATGTATGTTCATGTAAACAAAAGTTCCAATAATTGGATACAATTATTGTATGTTCCAAAAGGACACATATTCCTTACATTAGTACAAAAACTTGTTAAAACCATTTTCACTATTGACACCTGATGGCTACATTGTAGACTGCTTTGGCTCATACAAAGCTACCACAACTGATGAAGATATAATGAAGTCTCTTTTCAGAGATGAAAACTCTCCTCTCAGACAATACTTTCAAAATAATCATGTTTTATTCTAGACAGGGGATTTAGAGATTCAATTAGTTTGTTAAAGGCTTGCAGCTACAAAACATATATGCCGGAATCCCTGCTTGAGGGTGAGCATCAGCTCACCACCAAACAAGCTAACAGGAGTCATTGTGTGACCATGTTTTGATGGGTGGTGGAAGTCGTTAACGGGTACTTCAAACGAGACTTTAACATATTTTGCAAGATTTTTTTTAATAAATCTTCCACATATCATGCAAATGTTTTCAGTAGCTGCCAGCCTTTTAAATAGGCTTTTAAGCAGGAAAGATGCTAAGAAGCATCATTCTTGTTTTTTATACAGTTTCTGCATAGAAAACTGCAATTTCATTGCAGAATGAAAATTACAAATGTGATTAGACAACAATTTCCATTAAATAATAATTTATCTGATTTTATAAACAATATGAATATACGAACATCTGATTTTACTAGTATTACAGCTCATTTCAATACTAATATTATATTCCCCCGGTTAGAATACTGAAGTTACATATATATATAACATTTCAGATTCTACAGTTAAAGGTCCTATCGAGTATCGAATTGAAATAAGCAGAGAAAACATTGATATAACAGATTATTGTTTGATATGAAGTGGAAATAATTCGCTTATAAGAGACAAAGTCGAATCCAGACATAGTTCCAGTATGTTTATATATGTATTCATTGAAAATAATGTATCTGGAAGGGAAGAAACAGTTGGATGCTATGCACATGTTATGATGCTTGTGTGGTACCTTGGGTGAGCTCGGCATCAGCCGACAGCACTCCTTGATGTTGTAGTTGTAAGAGAGGATGATAAATAAAAAATAATTTTGTCTAGCCTACTTATTTCATTAAAGTACTCCTAAATTCTACCACTCCACTTCATTTAACTTATTTTAATTAGTAATTTTATTAACCTAATGTAATCTTATATCATTTGAATTGAAATTTTGACATACCTATGTTATATAATATAATGAAGTGGCCAATAAATAAATAAAAAAAAGTAAAAAGTAGTTGTTGATTGTAACCTCAAAAGCATTGTTGACATTATTATAAAAAATTGTGGCTATTTAGATATTATTTTTAAATATGATAGTGTTTACAACATAAAAACAAACCAATCCATAATATAGTTGGTTTTGGGACATGAAAATAAAAGTCAAGTCAAGCTCCTATAGAAATTTGGCTAACGTTCTTTTGTCAAACATACATGTGTCTATGATTAACCAACATTTGGAAAATCTTTTTCTTAATGTTTGACTGTTAGTATCAGACTAGAAAACATACTAAAAATCATACGAAATATATGTGATTTGTATTTTTGAACAAAAATTGACTCTTGTGGGAATTTAATTATTAGGAAGTCAATGGTAAATCAATTAACTAACAACTGCAATTTTGGCATAAAGATTACCCAATCTGCAAGGGAAAAATTCACAGACTTTCTAATCTATACCAGACATAGAGTTTGTATCAAAGCAGAAGGATAGAAGATAGCAGGCAGTTTTTAATACCAAGGCATGTTTTAACCCTGTGTCACTAACCGTTCGTCAAAATGACGACGCGTACCTTAGGTATTTAGTGTTTAGGTGAGATCCCGAATCCCGCCACCCTGCCCGTTTCCAATACCTTCCTTATTCGCATCGCTAGTGATCCGCAATCACTCCTTGTGGACGCACACTCATTAGATCGGGATATATCGTGTGATCGTCGTAAAATTTACGAAAGTTTAGTATGTACGTAACTTTTTTTCAAAGTTGTGCATTTATTTTTTGTCAATTATTTTTAATAATTACTATTAGAACACATTATTTTTGTGCAATAATTACTATATTTATAGTAGATTTCAATGTTATTTGCAAGGTTGTATTATTTTATCCCATAGATACCAGCTGTAAGACCAATCGATGGCCGCTGTGCTTGTTCTACGACATTCTAAATCTGTCGGTAGTTAATTCTTATAGGTATCATTCACGTTTCTAATGCAATCCGAAATGAAAAAGAAACATGAAAAGAAGGCCTTTTGCATTAGAAATGGCAGACGAATTGATGAAGCCTTGGCTGATAGAGAGATAACGGGCTGTAAATTTGCAACGAAATTTGAAGCATATCATCGCGGAGATCTTGAAAATTTATGATAATCAGAAAGGTTCTAGTCAAGACGTTCCCCGAAACCACAAAATTTGCAGTTACTGTCCTGCAAAGAAACATCCGAATGACCACTTACTTCTGTAAGGGCTGCAAAAAAGCGATTTGCAGAGAGCATATTGTTTCCATGTGCAATCATTGTTCAGTGTAGCTTATTTCCAAAACAGACTACGTTATTTGATTTCGATTGAACTAAGACTGCTAATAAAGGTCGTGTCATAAATAAAATTGATTACATAAATAATTATTTATGTTTAAATACGTCGTAAAAGTTATGAATGGTTAGTGATAACGTTACTTGAAATTAACGTTAGTGCGCTAGGGTTAATATCAATAATCAGTTGACCATGCATGCAATGCATTGGTCAATATTTTTAACAACAGACTTTTCATTTTAATACTTACATGTCCTCAGTAAAGAAACTGCATGTTCTACTCATTAAATATTCTAGCGTTTTTCTATGCCACTTCAGCATATGTTTTCGACCCAGTAGCAATATTCTCTTATTTTTTCCATTAAAATAATCAACAACAGTCTTCAAAAATTTCAATTTCTCCATATTTGTACTTTTGCTTATCGCATAAGCAATGTTTAAAGCATCCAATACAATGTCATAAGGTGCAGTTTCATCTACAAAATGTAAAAATTCATTTAATTCTTTTGGAGAAGTCTTTAGAAACATATCCGATCCAATGATAAGTTTATCTTTTATATTTTTTTGCAGTAATTCAAATTCTTGATTGGATAATTTAAGACATTTTAATTGTTTGTTGCATGATATACATTGACCACTGAAATATATAAAAATAATGTATTATTATTTTATAATATAATTCTACTAAATGTTTTAAGAGGCCAGGTCTATGTATACTACCTCAAAAATGAGAGAAAAATATGTAGAATTCAGGAAAAATACAGATAATTCATTTAAATAGGATACATTAATACATAGAATGACTATGTTCAGGAATAGACTTGTGATGGGATATAAAGATGATAATATATGTGGTAGAGCCATGCTGCAGTTATATTAGACATATAGTTGTAGCACGAATGGGTCGGCGCGACTGGGGACGGTCCACACTCTCACAGAATACCAGCGTGAAATAGAAGCTTAATGCTGCTGTATTTCGTATGGTGAGTGTAGAGAACCGGAGACCCTTTTTACTGGAAACAAGACATTCCATCTTAGTCCTCATGGGTCACAATGCATCTGCATTTTGATGCATAATCAAGAACAGATGTAGATGTCTATGTGCCACAGCAACCACTTACCGTCAGGTGGACTGTGTGCTCGTTTGTCACCGTATCCTATAAAAAAAATTATTATCCATATTATAAGTTTCCCATATTGTTATGATTTTTTACCTTTGCTTTATAACTTCCACAAATTCTGCATTCCATCCTAATGAAGTATAGATCTTTATCATTTCATCTACTGTTGCCATTGAAATAACAGCACAGTTTTCAGTAATATGTGAACAAATTGTATCTAAATGCTTAATTATTGTTCCTTTATTTTTATATTTCCTAAGAAAATAATGCATCCATTCTTTATATGCATAATATTGCAAGGGACGTAAATCTGAAACACTTCTGTTAATCATGTCTAATGCTTCTTTTACTTTGTTATTTTTAAATAAAGTTCCTATTAATGTGCTGTATGCAGAATGACTCGGTGTACAACTTAATTTTAAATCATCTAAAACTTTAAAAGCTTTTTCCCATTCGTCAATAGCACATAAAGCATGCAAAAGTGATTCAGAAGTTGAATAATCCAAAACTTTGTACTTGTTATATAAATCCATATAAGTATTCAAAATAAATTGCTTCTCGGACTCAGACAATGATTTTTTCCTTCCTTTTTCAAAATATAAGCCTAATATACTATTTGTGGCTCCTATACTTAAAACTGAATTGGAACTTTTCAAATAATTTGCAAAGGATGATGCTGAATCTAACCTCTGATTTCTAACCATTGTTTTTAATATTACAGCATCAACATTCTTTTCGTTTACTGAACCATCTTTACTAAGAATGTTAACTTTTAAAACTGGCCAATCTTGAAAATTTGTGTCTAACGCCGACTTTAAATATTCCATTTGTTCATTTCCTGGGGATTTATTCAAGAACCGACGCACCGTACACATAGCTAAAAGTAAGTATCATACATTTTAATTTTTTTAAATGTGAGAATAGAAAATTTTAAGAGTACTTGGTATGTAGTTTGTTTAATTAATACTTACCTATATTATTTGGTAACAAACACCGAGACAAAAAAAATATGTTTCTATGCATTGCTACACAATATATTTTTAAATTGTATAACCTAAATGTAACAAATAAATAATCAAATTGTCAACAATCAACAAATCTATCACAGACTACCTGATGCTTTTAGTTCGATACCCATAGATAAATAAATATGTAGCAAGCTATTCGATACCTAGTATAGTATTTTTGTACTCGATACTTTTATTAGAGTATTTTACTAAGTATCGATACTTTCTTAGTTACTCGATACTTTTATCTCTTTACTAAACTGTCAGACAAAAGTCAGTAGGTATTATTTTCTTTTCCGTTGTAAAGCAAAATAAAACCGACTTATTGCTTTGATAAAGAGAATACTACTAATGAGTTCATAATGGTTTTTACGAGAATTTATCAGTTAAATAATTTATCAGATAATCCAAATCAGAAGTTGATCAGATTGTTGTTTAATTTGTAATTTTAATAATCTAATGTAATCGTAAATCATTTGAATTGATTGCATGAAGGTTAGGTTAGAGAAAAGGAGAACGATCGCCGTAGAAAATAGTGTCCCAGAAATATGGACACCATAAGTGAGGCACTGCGATCGCTAAGTTCGGTCAATAAAAGACATTTTCAGTCTATTTTTCCGATCAGATACTTAACCACTTGCACATCCACGTACAATAAAATATTGCTCCATTTTTAATGTAATGTTTCTTTTTGTCAAAAATTACGGAGCATGAAAATTTTCTCACCAATGCCGCGGAGAAAATTTGTACATTATGTATTCAACTAACTTCATCTACTTGTACTTGTGGCCGAGGATGAAAAAGGGGAGATTTCCCGCCGGGCAAGGTGTTCTGCCCGGGGAGCGGCCGACACTCCGTGTGATAGTTTGGAGATGTTCTATATATGCTGTTTATGATTCGGAATGTTGATAGCGTGATTATGGCTTCGGTACATCACCCCCTGCTCAGACCAGAGGTCGATAGTGCAGTCCGATTGTCGGTGCGTCCTTAATGCCTGTGGGGAATGCATGCTGTGTGCGTAAGGGCAAGTGACACAGGTGCGAATGATATGCCGATATGTAATGCATACCGTACTACGCACTGGCAAGTGATGCCGGTAAGAACGATGTGCCGGAGCAAGTGCCAGAAGTCTGCCTTATAAATCTGCGGTGAGTCGAGAAGAAGACAAGTTGGACTGGCTTGCAGAAACTGAAGACTGCAGAAGACGATTCTCAGTAGTGAATGGTAGGGGTTCTTGAGGATAATGACGAAGGCTTGAAGTTGTATTTTCCGAAGGTGTTTGGTTGCGTGTTCAGATCACGTCGGGGTCACCACTGTGGCCGTGGAAGGAAAAGGGGAGATCTCCCGCAGGGCAAGGTGTTCTGGCCGGGGAGCGGCCGACACTCCGTGTGATAGTTCTGAGATGTTCTATATATGCTCTGTTTATGATTCGGAATGTTAATAGCGTGATTTAGGCTTCGGTATGTTTCGCTTGCGGCGTGACGACAGCGCCGCCACATACTCAGAAACAGATAACTTCGCAGTCACTACTCACCGACGTCAGCGCCGCTATAAATTCTACAATTTTCAAGGACCGGCGGGCTATGCTTTAGTACGTAGTGATCGTTCTCCTTATGGAGTGTAGAAGCAAGGAGTACCAACTCCCATAGTAGAATAGTTGAAAAAGTGGCCATCATAGTGATCGTTCGACTGTTCTCTAACCTTCATGATTGATTGTAACTTTGACATACCAATGTTATATTTTAACGAAATGACCAATAAATAAAAAAATTAAAATGTTTTTGTTGATTCAGCCTTTAAAATATTGTTGACGTTATTATAAAAAATCGTGGCTATTTAGATATTATTTTTAAACGTGATGGTGTTTACAACTTATAAACAAACCAACCTAACTATAGTTTGTTTTGGGACAAGAAAACAAAAGTCAAGTCCAACTCCTATAGAAATTTGGCCATCCTTATTTGCCGACCTTGGAGAAAGTTTAATAAAAATTGATTTGATTTAGTTTTGAGATGAACAAACACAACTAAATCAGTCATATTTGGAAAATAACAAATAGAGAAATATGAGGGCATTAATAACCTCACTTATTAGTGATACACTCGATTTGTTTTTGATGTCGACTTCATTCAACCAAAGTGAAGAATACCTGGTAAGTTATATTTGTACAGCGAATAGTTAACTTTAATGGTAATAATAGTATAAAATGTAAATGTAATAAAGATATTATTTACTATAAAGTTTGTCTCACGCTCGTTTTCTGAGGTTCTTAGATAAACAAACTAATAATTGATTCAATAAGGTTATCTATTTAAGTGAATTTCTATTTAAAATTAATATTTACAAACGTTTCGAAAAACTTCGGCTTAGATTAACACAGAAACCAATATTCAATTACGCTAGTACATTTAGTTATACAACACTAGAGATTACTAGTAAACCACATTACCGCGCGTCGAAAAAAGTGTAACCACTATCCAAACGCGACGACGTAGCTTTAAAACTAATAACAATTTTAAATAAACATATATCTATATCACTTACACAAGTTGCGAAAACAAAATCGTCGCTACGATTAGATATAGATAGACACACAATCATGCAATGGCGGGTTGGTGTGGCTACTATATGAAATTTTACCTAAAATACGCAATAAAAATGAGTTTTTTTTTAAAATGCAGTTAATTGTTTTTATATTAAAAAAAGTATATTTTATTTTAAAATCTTTATTACGTCCCCTTAGAAAAAAAGGATACAAAGCTTATCAGATGAATAGAAGTAAACATAATGATGAAATAAAACATATTTTTATAAGTATTTTTATTGTACTAATAAATCAAACAATATAAAATTGGTAATAAAATATAGTTAATATAAAATTTATATAAAATTATAATTAATATGAAATTATTAATATAAAATACGTAATAAAATATATTTAATAGATAATTCATGAATAAACTAAAATAAGAATAATTAATTATTTTGTATGAAAGTTAAAAAAAACCCCCCCCTCCCACCAAAAAAAAAGAAGAAAAAATAACAACAAAAAAAAAAAAACGTAGTTTTTACTATAATTTCCAAAATATTTAAAATCAGAGGTAACAAATTAACTTACTCCATTAATTATACAGTCTCCCATTAATTTAGGATAATCAAAAATGCGAAAAAGTGGCAACATTGAACCTAGGTGGCAATATTCGATAATTTTATTTAATTATTTGAATTTTTTTACGTTTATATGAAAACAAGAACTAAAAATTATGTGTTGAAAGTGGATTTATTACGTTTTTGTGACCTTGAATAGCATACTTTCACTACGCATTTACCCATTTTTGTCGCTGCTCAACTCTGTCGGCGTCACATTGAAAACTGAAGTGACGTTTAACGTTGCCACATTGAATTAGCGTAGGCCGTCAAAAAGTCCCTAGTTATAATTGAATTTACTAACAAAAAAGTCTCCAAATGTCGCTAAATATTAAAAAAGCGTGAAACAAAGAAAAATCGAACTATATAATTTATATACACTAGCTGCCAGGCTAGGCTAGTTGTTCTGCTCTCTTCGACGAGCCTTTCCTGTCCTATTAAAAATCTTTAAATTCGCAAAAAAAAAATATATAGGTCACTCATGGGCAAAAAAACTACTCACTCAAGTTGGACCAAAGTGCATACATGTGCAAATTTGATTAAAATCGGTTAAGTAGTTTAGGACTAGAGTTGTTTTTTTGTGTTTATCATTGCAAAAGCGACATCCAGATAACCTTTGTTCCTTTACATTTTATAATTTCGTTACTGCATAGAGTAATTTCCTTACGCCTAAAGTAGTCAGATGGTAACGAAAATTGAAGTACAAATGTCGCTAAAAGTCACTAGAATATTATTTGTTGTCGCTAAACATTAAATGGAACTCCCTAAAGTAACAAAAAACTCGTTAGATTTAGCGACAAATTCGCTAAAGTGGCTATATTGTTGACGTTAGCTAGGCATATGGCTGTGGCCATATGTGCAGTGGCACTGCTTTGGCGCGGTTATTACTGATCTAATGTAATATACAAATCAATGCGCTAGTAATTTATAAGTTAATGTATTAAATAATGACAGGGATAAAAATAATGAAACCTACTACACTGACCACTGACATAAGCTTACATGGTTATTACAATATATTATGTATTGTCCATTTATTGAAAGTGAACAATATAATATTTGCAGATTCCCTATAAATCCAAAGATTAGCGAAAAGTGGTTGTAAATGTTAAATGGGTAAAATTGGACGCGCATAAATCTATGATATGTAGCAATCATTTTTATCAATGCTGCTTTTCTGGTCAAAAAAGAAGAAAGTTAAAAAGTGGTTCTGTTCCTACTACGTGTTAACGTACCAGTATAGGTAAGAACATAGATAATATACTATATATAGGGCAGGTAAGAAAAACAATAGCCTTTTTAAATAATTCAGATTACCTTTTGTTACACTTGTCAGATTAAACAATAATGATAGTGTGTTCATGTTTAGTTTTAATTTTATGAAAACTAATTTGGTGTATTTAAGGCTACTCATTGTATGATACTTGAAATCATCTGACATTCCTCTATGAAAGCTAGTGAAATAAATAATGAAAGCTGTAACCTATTCTGCTGAAAATAGGTGTTTCGAAATATATAGTTCATAAATTTTTTATTACATTCATAATAATAAAATGATGTACTTATTAACATCTTACTACACATATTAAGAATTGTTTAGATAAAAAAATAATAGTATGTAAGTTGAATTATTCTTCTATATTATATTATTGTTAAATTAGATTATATGTGAGATTGCCAATGCATCACATAAGTTATGGAAAATAAATCTGCCTTGTCAATTTAATTTGTTTGTATTCCAGGTTAAACTGCATCTTCCACATAGATCATCTACATATTAGTGGTATTGGAGTGGCACAAAGAAAGATGAACTTCTTATATGTAATATTCAAATTAAAGACAACAATAATAGATGAGAAGAAAGTTTAA